TCCTAAATGTTTTCTTATCTTATTGGTTTTCCATTCATTATATGAAACTGAATAAACTTTATCTTTATCTTTACACCTTTCATCACTTCCAATATATTTATATCTCAGTTTTGATTTAGCATTTTCATATTCATTAGCGTTTAATAATTCACAGTCTTCCTTTTTAAATTGATGTTTAAGATATTCAGGATTAACAATTCTATAATATTGCTTCCCTTTAAATCTTTGAATATAAACCGGAACACCATCCTCTAAAATTCGATAATCTATTTTATCTGGTTTTACTTGTTGGGTCATTTATGTAAGAATAAAAAATAAATTATTTTAAAATTAATATGTTAAAAAATGATACAAAATCGCTCGATATTGTATGAATTCTTACGTTTACAAAAAAAGTCACAAAACCCGTCATATCCTACTACTAATTTTATATTGATTCAGAATTAAAAAGAACAAAAAATACTAATCCAATTGCTAGAACATTTGATTCAGATGTATCGATTTATATTTCCGATTTAGATTATGGTGATCACATATTAACTGCACAAGCTAAGAGTGATAATCAATTAACTAATATTGATTCTGTTGTAAACGAAAACGATAAAAACGGTTTGACAGTAAAGTGACACTTTACATGGCAAAAAATAGAGCCTTACTTTTGAGATACTTGAGATTGAAACTGAATCTTATGAGGCGGTGATCTTGAATCACTACCTCATAAGGTTCAGTTTCATATAAAATTTGTTGCAATTTGTTATTCTTTTGCAATTATTTCTTATAAGATTTTACATCTTTTAGCGGGTAATGTTTGTTATCATGTATATATTATAAATATCTACACGATAACGAACATTCCTCGCTAAATTGCTGAGAAACTTTGAGGAAATGTCGAACAATTTCCTCAAAGTTTCTCAGATTTATATAGATCACTAGAGTCCCCTAGGCACTGATTCTGGTTCAGTACCTAGGAGGCTCTAGTTCTTTAACGAACTGATAAAATGTTTTTAAATTTTGGATATTGCTACCTGTGAAGCACTGACTTCAAGTCAGTACCTCACAGGTAGCAATTACATTGAAAGATGGGAGAAACTTTGTCCGAATGTTAAACTATTCGGACAAAGTTTCTCCCATTTGTAGTGGAGATGGAAGGCTTTGAGGTATATTGTATTAATATATACCCCAAAGCCTTCCATCTCCACTTGAAAGTGTCCAAACTTGGGTTAATAGTTTGCAAACTATTAACCCAAAGTTTGGACACTTTCTAGAAGGAATTGGAGGGTAAGAGATATACATTCATATGGTATATCTCTTACCTCCAATTCCTTCTTAAAATGGGAGAAAACTTTGTCGAATGTTAAACTATTCGGACAAAGTTTTCTCCCATTTTTGAAGGAATTGGAGGCTATGAGATTACTGATGCAATGTCAGTAACTCATGGCTTCCAATTCCTTCCTAAATTCATAAAAGTGGACATTACATGCATATAAAATTTGACATGTAAAGTCCACTTTTTGTGAGCGGGGATTTGACTCCGTCAAATCCCCTTTTTCGTTTACGAGAATTCTTTAGAATTTGCAGTTGGATATTCAAATAAACTTACTCTATCTAATTTAGGTTTAAGTCCAACAAAAATTATAAAGAACAGTGGTCAGACATTGACATTATCAGGAATTGCAAGTTATCCAAATGGAGAATCAACAGCTCTCATTAAATATTACTTCAACGAAGATAATAACACTCAAAATCAATACGAAGTTCAAGTCGATTCAAATGATGAAACTTTCACTAAACCAATCACTTTTCCAAATGATTTACCAGAGAACAATCACACAATTCATATTTATTTATTAAAAGATGGTTTTAATAGCAAAACATATAATCTTTCATTCGAATACATTTATAATCCATCAATTATCAGTATCACAACAGCTCCTAAGTCATCATACACAAAGAATACAGATTACAACATCTTTGTTACTTTATCTGTTTCAGATCGTGATGGCAATGAACTAATTGATATTTACTGCCAATTTGACAGTGAAACAGCAACTAAGAAGACATCACAATCAATAGTAGTCAATGAAATAAATACAAATTATGATTTTGATTTCACAGTTAAAATTCCATCATCATTCTCAGAAGGAACACATATAATTTATATTTGGGCTGTTGATTCTAATCAAAAACAATCAGATTTTGCATTATCAATTTGATTTCAATTACAACACACCATCAATTTCTATAACAACAGAAAACAATCAACAAATTCGAAAAGGAATAAATAATCAAATTGAAATCAAAGGAAGTGTCACTGATCTTGATGGAAGTGGAACAGTTACAATAAATTACATTATTGATGACAATGGTTTAGAACGACTTTGAAAGAATAACATATAATACATCATCTCATGAATTCAATAAAAACATCGATATTCCATCATACTTGAATGAAGGAATTCACAAAGTCACAATTTATTGTTATGATGAAAGTCTTAAGAAATCAAATGAAGAAAACATTAATTTCATATATATATTCAACAATCCATCTCTCATTGTCAACAAAGAACCTCTGTCTACATACCACAACAAAATTGATATAAATATCACAGTCTCAGGAACATTCACAAACGAAAACAATGCAGAACATATTTACTTCTTCTATGTCATCGACAACAGTTCTCGACATGAAATTGAAGATATTACAATTACAAATGAACATGAATTCACATTTTTTGTTCCGTACCGAAAAGGGTCACTAGAAAAGTGACAAAAAGTGACACCTACTCTTATTTTCGCGCCAAAATTCGAAAGGGTTTTTAATATAATAATTATAATATATAAGGAATTTTATTAAAAATATGAAATTAAAATATAAAAAATTTAATAGTTAATTTAAGTTTGTTTTTTATTTTTATTTTAGAACTGTTTTCATAGGAATTAAAGGGTGAGAGTATATAGTATGCCTATATACCTCGCACCCTTCAATTCAAACTCTAAATGGGAGAAACTTTGTTCGTATGTTATCTTATGAAAGCAAAGTTTCTCCCATTTAGAAAGTGAATAGGAGCCTACCAGGCACTAATACATAATCAGTGCTTTGTAGGCTCCTATTCCCTCGAGAAAGTTCGAAAACTTGGTCGCAATCAGATGCAATTGCGACCAAGTTTTCGAACTTTCTGGTAGGAATTGAAGGGTGAGAGGTATATAGTATGCCTATATGCCTCTCACTCTCAGATTACATTAACGTACATAAAAAAATATTTTTTTGATTTTTACTAACCTGAACCTCGGAGTAACGAGGTATTCGTAGATATGATGTAGACTATTGTTTTAAACTGTAAGCTCGGAAATTTTTGTTAGATAACTTAGCATTCGAAGTCACTTTTTGAACTTTCTGCGCAAAACTGTAGCCTCGGAGTACCGAGGTATTCGTAGATATGATGTAGGCTATTGTTTTAAGCGGTAAGCTCGGAAACTTTTGTTAGATAACTTATCATCCAAATCTACGATTTGCAATGAATCATCAGTAAGTAAATAGTTGTATTAAAAAGATGTAAATACGATAATATTAAGTGTTTATTCGTAATGATTTGAGAATTTGTTGAAAATTTATTGAACTTGCTCGAGATTTTCATTTTCTGAACTCGTCAATGCTTTCCTTAAGGTTTTTTAATTGACCGTCGACTATCTAGAATGGTTCTTGTTCTGGATTTCGATACCAGTGATCATCAATTTCACTGGCCTCGAATTCATTCGGCGTAAAGTAAACGTTCGTTTCAGGATTCACAGGCAAAGAAGAATGGGGCATATTATTGTAAAATCTGATAACCCGTGGAAGATCTGATTCTGACTTGCAGTTTCTTTCCACGTATGGCCACCATCTCTCAATCTTACCATTTGCCTGTGGATTGCCCGGTTGAATGAAAATATGCTCAATTCCACGTTCAACCAAAAGTTGATGAAATGAGCTTTTATTTTCAAGGCCGTTATCAGTCCAAATAGCGTATGGTGGTTGAGGTAGAGTACTTAATGCTCTTTTAAGAACTGCAGTTGTATTTTGAGCTGTTTTTTCGGTAAATAAATTAAAATCTATGATTTTTCGCGATCTGTCGTCTATTATCGCAAACAAATATTTGCCTATTCGTTTCCTCCAATAGTGGATATCAGCATGCCAAATTTGATGACATTTGGATGCTAGATAATTTCGAGGAATGTATTTTTGCTGATTTTCTTGATTTTGAGGGGGAGTATCTGCGATAATCGCTTCGTGTATTTTCCTGCCCATTTATATGAGGGAGAATCGAAATTTTTTGTAATGTATGTTGCCGTTTGAAGAGATTCGCGTAATGGATTTATTTCAATAGGCGTACCTTCTATTGGAGTCACAACTGGAACTAAAGTTGTGCGGTCAACTTCATCGAGCCAGTTTCCAGACTCATAATTTATTTCTCCATTTTTTTGAATTTCTGATTGAATTTTTTGAAATTCTTCTGGATTCTTCTCAATATTGACAAGGTCTGTTTTCATTTTCTGAATAATTTTATTGATGCCTGCATCGGGCATTAAATCTTTCAAATTTGCATAAGCTTGGCAGGCATCAAGATTAATTTCTATTTGTTTTCTTCCTCTTTTTGGAATTAATTCCAAATTATTTTCTCTGACAAGCTTTTTGAACATGGTTTTGGATATTTCACGAAAGGTACCATTATTTAAACGGGCCTTTTTGCAAATATCCTTTAGCTTCATTCCAGAGTTAATTTGTTGAACCGATTCCTTTAGCCATTCGATGTCAACTAATTTTCTGGAGGTACGATGCCAGTGATATGGATCCATTTGATTTTTGTAAAAGTTTACAAAAACTTCCATTCTGAAAAATAGTATGGATTTGATATAAAAAATAATATGTAATGGTGTAATATTGATTAAATAATAAAAATAAGTTTTTTTTTAAAAAATAATTTTGGCGCCAAAAGTCACTTTTTCTAGCGACCCTTTTCGGTATGGTATATGAATTCACATTTTTTATTCCAACATCAGAAATCTTCGAAGAATACGATTCAGAGAGTAATCATACAATTTTTATTTGGATTGAAGACAGCTTCTTCAAAACATCATCAAACTACACTAAGACATCCGAATTTGTTTTCAATTCACCAATTGTTTCGGTTTCAACATATAATTTCAGCAGATTCCACAAGACAACAAACAAATTTATCAATATTGAGGGAAGTATCGAAGATTCGGACTGCACAGGTCATATCTCTATCTTTTACAAATTTGATGATTATCCATATTCAGAATTACATTCAGAATCCATGAACACAGAATGTATTATTTCATTTTCTAACGAAGTTGAATTTCCAACAGCATTTTCAGAATCTGTTCACAGTATCACAATTTATTGCTCAGATGAACACAACAAGAAATCAAACGAAGAACATATTTATTTTTATTATGAATACAATTCACCCGAACTCACAATCAACACATTCGAGAACGGTCCATATCATCGATGTTTGAACAAGAGTATTCATCTTGAAGGTCAGATTGTAGATCTTGATGGCACAGGTCTTGTCACTATTCGATGTTACATTGACAACGACATCATTGACACTAAAACTATTGAAATTTTAAATATTAATGAACATCCATTTTCCTTTGATCTAGAATTTCCATCAGAACTGACTGAATCATTACATCATCTTATAGTAACAGCAACTGATGAATCAAATAAAACATCTACTCCTTTTCGATCAGCTTTTCAATATTTTTATAATTCACCATTATTATCAATAACAACAAGAAATAATCAGACATTTGTCAAAGATGTCAATAAGAAGCTTTATATTGATGGTTTTGTTCAAGATTCAGATGAGCGAGGAACATTTACAATCAAATACAAACTTGATGAAGAAACATTTAATGATTTAACAACATTTTATATTTATGATAATAATCAACGTCCATTCACCGAATCAATTGGAATTGATTCTATTTCATGTGGATTTCATTCAATTTATCTTTATGTTGTTGATGATGATAATAAAACATCATCACATCAACCATTAACATTTTTTGTTATTCCTAACAGTCTGAAAGACAACAAACACAAGAACATCCTTTCGATTCCTAAAACAATTTATGCATTAACATTAACTATTTCAAAATCTTCTAAATAAAATCCCTGCTATTTTTTTGTAATATTTAGCTGAAATCATGTTAAAACATCTGAATAATACGCTCATTTATTATGGTTATCAAATGTAATTCTATTGCATTTATTTCAATTTATTTATGATTATCAAAATATTTGCTTTTTCTTTCACAGGTAAAAAATCCATCAACTATATTAAATCAAAAAAAAAAAAAAAAAAAAAAAAAAAAAAAAAAAAAAAAAAAAAAAAGGTAGTGGGGCTTCCAGGCACTTCGTGCCCTCTAGCCCCGAAGATGTTTAGTATAAATGAAGTTTTTATTCGGAGGGCTTCCAGGAGCTTTTCTGTCACTTTTCAGGAAAAAACATTTTTATTATATATATAAAATGAATTTTACAAAACCACCGTTACCCTTCTTTGGAAATAAGAGTAGATGTAAAGATATTCTATTGAGAGAACTTAAGAAACTACCGAATGGTCTAACATTTGTAGACTTGTTCGGTGGAAGTTTCTATATATCTCATTTGTGCCATACAATATTTCCTGACTCAAAGATTATATGCAATGACTTCGACAACTATATGGACCGTCTCAAACATATACCAGACACAAACAAAATATTGAAAGAGTTAAAAGAAAAGATACCTATAGGTAAGATGGAACGTATACCATTAGATAAGAAAAATACTGTCAGAGAGGTTTTGAAAAAGGCAGAGTATATTGACTGGGATAGTATATCTGCTAGACTATTATATAGTGGTGCTATAAGAGTTCATGACATTGAAACACTTATGTCAAAAGTTTTATATCTTAACTATACAAATGTTTTCAAAGAGGACATAGAAAAATATATTGAGGGTATAGAGTTTGTGAGATGTCATTGGACAGAGTTGTATGAAAAATATAAAGACAAGGAAAATGTTTTCTTTATAGTGGACCCGCCGTTCTATAACACATGGGATTTTCAATACCAAGTAGACTGGACTTTGAGAGACTCTTTAGAAACTTTAGACGTTTTACATAACCATCCATGCTTTTACTTTACATCCGATAAAAGTGGTTTGGAAAGTGTCATGAGATGGTTAGAGGACATACATGACTATGAGTTTATATATGACAAGATAGAATATGAGAGAGGTCCTATAAACTGGAGAAAGTGTCACAATAAAGAAATTTTATTAGTAAGTAAATGTGGTTTGAAATAGGACTACTTGTTTTAGGTTTTTTCCATTGTGTCATTTATTTATTTGACGTGGCAGAAAAGTACAGAGAATATGAAGATGAACCAATGCCTGCAAATGTCCAGTATATGTACTCGTAAGAGATATTTTTATCTAATATTAAATGGACGCACAGAACTTAGCGAATGCACAGCAACCTGGACAACCAAACCCAGAGAATATTCCAAATGAAGTTAGAATACAAACTGCAATGGCAAACTATGGTCAAGTGCCAACAGATGTACAAATGCAAACTGCCATGTCAAATGACGCTGCGTTAGGCTTACCACCATGGTATGCAAATATGAGATGGAAAGAGTTTTATACAAACCCTGAAGTGGGATATAAACAACTCTATGCAGATGACGCGAACACAGGAGTTGACCCAGAGTATGTTTTCTACCAGAGGAGAAATAGAATGTATGAGCTCCAGTTAAAGAATGCTATGGAACTCAACAGGAAACGTAAGAGACTAGGCGGACATTAGATTTTTACATATAGTAAAATGGGTTTCTTCAGTAAGATAGGAAACTTCTTTCGAAATGTTGGAAGAGGTATATGGAATGGAATAAAAACCGTAGGAAGAGGAATTTGGAACGGAGTCAAAAATATTGGTAAAAGAGTAGGTCAGTTTGTTGGTATTATACCTAAAGACCCTGAACCAGAAGAACAAGCTCCTGTTATACAACAGCCTGAACCTGCACCACAGTCTAGTTGGCAACCAAATCCAACACCTCAACCGTATTAAAAAATTATATTTTTACCGTTCGATAGTAGTTGTATATGAAACTAAGTTCTAAGTAAAACACATGGTATAATGGAATTATTCTTTTTCTTCCATCTGTAGTAAACCATACTTGAAAGTCTGAAATACTTCCACTCGGCGGTTCATATAGCTTTGTAGGTTTTTCGTAAAAGTCGTTTGCCAAGCATAAAAAAGAGTTTTGGGCGCCAGAAAATGAAGCATGAACAATAATAGCATCTTGGTCGAAAACATTTTCATATGTTCCATTAGGGTTTTCGACTTCATAAAAGTCTGGGTGTACTGGATATTCTGCAGGCTGATTTAACATCCTCAAAAATCTATACCATGCCAAGTTGTTATATTTTGTAGAAATATAAACGTCTTCTCCAAGGTCTTCTATTCTATTGATTTTAACAGTTGCATTTTTCCTGTCATATATAATATCGAGATGGTACTCTCCTTCGTCAATGTTGTACTGTTTTGCATATTCGAGATAGATATCGTTTATTTTTTCTTGAAAAGCTTGAAGAGTTGTTTCTAAGTTTACAAGCAAATTCACTTGTAAAAGTTTTCCCTGTTCAAATTTCTCATACGTACGTTTTTCTTTGTTATAGTATCGAATTTCAAAAGCGACCGTAAATGGGAAACCATGTATGGCTTCTGAAATGAACTTCATTCTACGAAAGCCAATAGCTTTTGTGACGGATGGGTCTCTTAACCATCTTAGTGGGTAGTCAAAACGATAGCCTTCATGCTTTACGGTCTCTGTCTCAAACTTTTGACCGACATTGGTAAAAAGTTCATCTAATGGTTTAGTTGTAGCAACTCTAGAATTTTCTTTTTCTATTGAAAGCATATTTTATCTAGAATAAAAATGTCGAAAGAAACAGCGTCTATGAGAGAAATACAACACAACCGACAACTCATTTTGCAAGCTCTAAATAAGAACACAACAAACTTTTCAAACTATTCTAAGATATCTGAGTCATTGAAAGAAGGAAACTTAAAACTGACGATAAACCCAATGACAGATGAGTTTCTGTTTCAAGACAGTAAGAACCATACTGTTTGTATAAATCCAACAAAAGGAACTTTAAACGAGAAACCTATAGATGAACTTCTTTTGAAAGCAGATGTTGGCAACAAAGCTGACAAAGAATATGTCATTGAAAAAGTTCAAGAAGAACATGACAGAGCAGATGCAACATATGCAACGAAAGCAGATGTTGACAACAAAGCTGACAAAGAGTATGTTGACGATGAGTTAGCATATCTGGCTAGTGGGTTAGTGAAGAAGGCAGATAAGGAATATGTGGATGAAAAAGACAATGAAATTATAAAAAGGGTTGAATGGTACATGAACGGACATCGAAGATTTTAGAAGGTAAAGCCAATACAGGGTGGGTTTCAGGATGTTTAGACCTTAAAGCCGACAAAGAAACTGTAGATATGTTGACACAAACGGTTTCAAGTCATACCAGAGGTTTAATGGAAGATGGACAACAGTTGAAAGAGCTTGAGAAAGGTGTTACAGAGTTAAGGAATACAAAAGCAGACTCGACATGGATAAAAGGATATGTAGATGCAACAAAAGAACGTATTTTCGCATGGACAGAAGGAACATACCACAAAAATATCATATAGACATAGCATCTCTGACGTAAATGAACTTGAAGAAAAGTTATATAAAAAAGCAGACAAAACAGAGCTTCAAACATTAAAGACAGAAATACTTCAAACAGTATATCCTATAGGTTCTATTTATACGTCAATGAACTCTACCAGACCAGAAGTAGTACTTGGTTTTGGAACTTGGACTCAAATAGTCGACAGGTTTTTGTATTGTGCAAACTCTTCAAAGGAAACAGGTGGAAGTAAAACGATTTCAGGTGAAAACCTACCTGCACACAGTCACTACATAAATTTAACTACAGCTGAAGCAGGTTGGCATAAGCATAGATATTGGGATTGGACAGGAATGACAAAAGGTAAAGGATATGATGTTAAAGACGACGTTAAGTTTGCTATAAATTGTTACTGGGATGACACTCAGGGAGGAGGAAGCCATACACATCGCATTACAGGATATTCGGAAACAACGGGACAGAGTAAAGACTACATGCCACCTTACATGACAGTTTACGCATGGTATAGAAATGCTTAGTCGTCATTTTCAACTTCTTTAGCATATTCGTCAGGAGTTGTCTTATATTTGTTAGGAACTGTCTTTGAAAGTATACCACCTTGAACTTTGACAAGTTTGAACGGGTCTGACAATAGTAGTTTTATCTTCTGCTTGCAGTCTGTACATTTTGCCATGTTTGCCTAAAACTTCATAATATTCTCTTGTATACTTTCTTCTATTTTTACGAACACGAATGTGAGTACCTGTCGAGTTCCCATTTTGTCATAGTCAATAGTATTTTCATATGGGTCGCGTTTAGGTATTTCTATTTTTACTTTGTCACCTTTCTGAAGTTTGAAGCCTGGCATTCTTTCTTGTTTGTCTCTTTTGACTAAACTATTAAATATATAGTCTTTCTCTAAGTCAGGGTTGTTTTTCATTTCTTCAGGGGAGTGGTTTCCCAAACCTTTTTTTTACGGCTATTGTAAATATTTAAAACTTGTCTCATCTTTGCCATGGAGAAGTGTTTGTCGTCATATGACATTTTGCTTCACCACCTTGTGGTTGGTTTAAGTCTCTTAACATTTTATACATCCGTCAATGACACCAAGAGCAGAATGGTTTTGGTCGACAATGAAATATTGGTTTACATTTTTTGAACGCAGATAGTTTTTAATATCGTCTGATTTGAAAGAACTTTCACAGTCAGATGTCAGTTTTGTTGGATGGTATTTGTCAACGAATATTGTCAAAGCTGCTAAGATATCTAAAATATTTTTGGACTGTAATGGTATGGCTTCACAGTATCTTGTGTTTTGACCGACAAATATTAGCCAGTATGGTGGTCCATCTTCTCTATACCTCGGAATGTTTTCCAAGATATCCATAAACCAAGCATTTGGTGTGAACTAAAGATTTTTATCATGAGTGCTTTCTT